CAGAACCTTAAACCGTACCCATCCTCGTCGTTTGGCCTTGAGGTTCCTTGCAAACATGCCAGGGGGAGGGGAAGGGGGTTTAGGGCTTAGGGTTTAGGGTTTAGGGTTTAGGGTTTAGGGGTTGGAGGGGCAACGAATGCCTCGTAATATTGCCATGTATATGACATAGCTGTTATTGTCCATGCTTCTGCACTTCTTTTGTGGCTCTTCGTAAATTGTCATTAGTATTCCCATAGTGCCATACTTATCACTGATACTGTTATCCTGAGTACGACTCTGTTTCTTACTACAATATTCAGTACTGTGCATGATTAACACTACTAATTATCCGCTACTACGCATGATTTATGTTCGTCATGGTCATCATCATCATCATCATCATTACGAGTGTTTGTAATAATGACTTTGCTAAAGATCTGGAAAGGGAGGAAGTAAGTATCGCTGTCTGTGTTTCGGCGGTCGTGGTGGGCAGTGTCGTCTGATTTCGACAGCAACTCAGACGGATTTTTTGGGATCTGACGTGCCCCTAAGTTGGTTCTATAACCAGGGGCTTGTATGTTTGGGGTTCGCTGGTTTTGCTCTTTGTAGCGAGATTTCAGGATAGATTTAGAGCATGGATTTCGGAGATGGGTCCTGCGAGCTCTGTGTTTTGAAATGTTGCCATCGTATGAGGGCTTTAGATTTCAGTAGCTAAAATTAGGCGCTTGGATACTTAGCGATACTATTAGTCTTAGGGCTGTTCGTGAGGATTCCCAAATATAATCATCGCATAATATTTGCTCCGCAATATCAGGACCCGTAGAGTATACTCGTCTGGAAGGAGGTGGTCCTCAGACTAAGAGGCTGTGTACCCGAAATCCAAAATCCACGCCGCAGATATTTCAGAGGCCCTGCAACAAGAACAGCAAAAGCAGCAAACTTCACTTGCCCAACCACCATGCTGCGCACATTGGCCGTATTGTGGTGGATAGCCTTTTGCCAGAAGTTCAATATCACTGTCACCCAGGCTGGGATGCGTTTGCGAATAAACGTCGCTTCCGCCATCACATCTTAACAAGCTTGTGCTACAGGGTGCAACAATGTGCCAGCATCTACTGAATCTACTGCAATATATGCTACTGCCAGAAATAGTAAAAAACCTGTGTTGTCCGGCTGCAAACACCTAAACCCTAAACCCGAAACCCTGGCCCTAAACCCTAAACCCACTTGTGCCACTGGCAGGAGCCTTCTTGCCTGCTGCAGATCCAACCAGACCACGAAGAAACTTGGCGTTCTTCTGGTTGGCTCTTTAGACTTTAACTTTTTGGGTTTCTATATGAACTGTAATATGTGGGCTAAAAGTTTAACTTTTTGGAGGGGTTCAGAAGTAGGCCAAGGAAACTCGCACAGAGACCTGCAAGTCGACCTCTTCGTGGACACCGCAGCTTCTTGTAGCTTCCCTTAAGAACCCAAAACCGACTTTATTGTAGGTTCTTATTATAAACCCTAATATGGGATTATAGGGACCCTACAAAAAGTAGGTTTTGGGTTCTTAAGGTCGTTAGCCAATAGGAGAACTTTAAACTTTTGGCCTTATATATTTGGTCTATCCTAAAAAGTTTGAGCTTTTTTGGGCCTGGTTGTTGAAGAAAAGAGGTAGAGCCACGGCCAGCTTATCCGAAAGCTGGGCGGCATCAAGCAACCGCGGCGCTGAGGAATAACTTCGCTTTGATGGGATGGAGCCATGCTCCAAACCTTCCAGCCTCCGTCCTGATGTATAGTGTGGAGGAGAACTCGGGGTGGCGGTTGAATGCCAACCTCACAGCTCTTGCAAACAGTACGGAAATGCTGGTGCTGGCTGACCTCAGTTCCGCAAACATCGCGATCTTTTACCAAGCACGATGGAATCTTCCTTTGAATGTCTACAGCTTTGCCTACGACGGGACGTCCTGGAATTTCGTGAACCTAGAGGTTTTCCCTAAAGGCAACGATTGCTTCAATGACGGTGGATGTCTAAGGCTTGGGGGCAATCTGATGGTACTCAGACCAGAAGCCGCCACGGACGATGTTTTTCAAACGTTTCAGTGGCAGGGGGCTAGCTGGTCCCTGGTACCGACTGCCAACCTCAGAAGTCCACCGCACGAGGCACAACCAAGTTTCTCGGTCCCTTAAAGGCAAACATTGTGTTTGTTTTAGGGATGGGTTGGTGTGGACTCCGTCCTCCGGACGAGACGCGTGTGTCTTACCCAGGTCTTGCGGTCGATGGGCAGCGTCTCATCTTGTTCACTTTCACACGCAGCGCCACCCCTACGCTCAGGACCGTGCCCGTTCTTTCCTTGCATCTCGGCTGGGTAGCGGCTAATGTCCCCGTTTTCGGGTAGACCTTATTCTTCGTTAGTTTCAGCACCGAAACCTATGAAACCCTATGCTTCTGTTATGTCTGTCAGGCATTCGCCGAAAGCTGAGCATGTTATGCCGCAATCACGTATGATATGATCTGCTACGCTGTGTTAGAGTCTTTTACATACAGCTGTACACCACATGATGACCTATCATCGTGTAGCCTTACCAGTGCCAGTACACTTTCAAGACGATTCCCGCTCTTTCCCTGCGTCCCAGCTGGCTAGCAGCTAGTCAGTGAATTTTGACACCATAGGCAGACACACGACCGTTAACAACAAACATGCCCGTGACTTGGGTGGTTGTCAAAATCATGGTCCCGTTTTGGGTCCTTATTATAATACGGCACCTATTATTTAGGGTACCCCAAAAGGGACCATAATTTTGACAACTACCAACTTACTCACACTCACTCACACACCCACCCAGCCAGCCAGCCAGCCAGGCACTGGAGCTCAGGCATCCGCCGTAAGCTGAGCAGCATGCTTTGCCGTAACCTATACTGTAGAACATAATATGCTACATTACCCTGGAGTGGTTTACAATAGACAGTACACTACATTCTGATATGGCATCATATGCGATAGGGAAGATGCTTGACAGACTCTGTCTTGCCACAAGACCGTATAGACAAGCAATTCGGAATTCCAAAACAGCTTTGCAGGTACGAGTGGGCAGGAAACTCCTGGAGTGGGCCGGTAGCCAACTTCACTTCCTTCGTTTCCCTCTTCAGCATTGCTTCAGTTTCGGGTTTAGGATCTTGGGTACTAGGGTTCGGCAGTTTGGGCTTAAATGTTCAGTGACAGGGTTTAGGGTTTAGGGTTTAGTGATGCACATTGTGGCTCCGGGAGCTTGTATGTCCATGCACTTGCTGGTTTGATGACGCAGCAGTGGATGATGAGGTTTCTGAGCCCATCGAGTATCCCGTCGGAGTCGCCCTGGATGGCAATTACATGCTGGCGGTGGGCAGTCAAAAAAACCAGCCTTTTGTTGCGGGATAGGAGTCCCCGACGGTCAGTTCTTGCTTATGATACGGTGAGACTTGCGCATGTAGGTTTCTTACCCGAGCCACGAGCAAAACTGCAAGACAAGAAGCCCTCCAAGACGTGCTTTGGAGGCCACGCACACTACATTGACATCACCTCTACAGCAGTCATACATATTCATCTACGAGCACAACGACGGCTCATGGGAGGAGGCCAACCTAAGCACAGAGGAGTGTGAGTCCAAACTTTACCGGTTCGTTTGCACGTCTAAGGATTGCCTGCAACACCCCTTGCTTTTCAGGGTTGTTGTGATGCAAGTTAAAATATTACCCTACACCCTACAAGCCCTAAATCCCTAAACCCTAAACCCTACACCCTACAAGCCCTAAATCCTTTTAAATGGCACCCCAAAGCTGCCCGGGACGAGCCGAGTGTGGGGTTCTGGTTGGAGGAGGTCTGAAGATAGATTCACCGAAATCTCAAACCTAAAGCTGCTTTGGGGTTTAGGGCTTTTGGGTTTAGGGTTTAGGGTTTAGGGTTTAGGGTTTTTGCTGACTTCGCGGCCTTACACTGATGCTTGAGTTGCCATGGCCCTATCGCGCAAAGCCTCCGGGACTACTGTAGGGGTGGAGCTGCTAGTAGTCTCGAGGAGTCAATCCTCAACGTGAAACCCTAAAGCCGACAGCCGGAGAGAGGTCTACCGCCAAGAGGTGGGAGAGTTTATCACCGATGTCGATATTTCCAGCTCTGGCAAGGCAGCAGTGGCAGTTGATACTCGTTCCGAAGGATCTGAATGACTGGGTGGTTCTGGTTCGTATTATATATCATAACCTAGAATATATATATATATATATACACACATACGTATATTTATTCATGGGTTTATTTATGTATTCATTTGTTTATAGTTGTTTGTTCATACACTATATATATATATATATGGTTTGAGATGTAGCTTTCCAGGGTCCTCATAACGCTAAGATGGGTGTACGGCTAAGGGCATAGTGATCACGTTAGCTAGAGTGGAGGGCTCGGGGCTTATAGGATGGTTTAGGGTTTAGGGTTTAGGGTTTAGGGTTTAGGGGTAGTCCGGTGAGGACTTCATATTAGTTAAAGGATTTCGTAGTCTGCTGCACAGAGTTCGGGGGGTTTATGGTTCAAGGCTTTGGATGTGTACCGTTTCGACTAAGGCATCAGAACTCGTATTTCGGGTCCTCTTCTTCGAGAGGGGCGCCGATGATGCTTGGGGACCAACACAGACATTGGTCTTAAACGGGGCTATAGAGGACGTGGAGGTGGGCATCGGTGGTGCTGCCGCAGTAGTGGCTTCGTTTGTCTCAGATGGTAATGATGGATACAACACGACCGCCAACGGCAGGATCATTGGTTGCAACGCAACCGTACCGACCACTCCGATGCCGTCATACAGGTACTCGTACTGCCCAAAGTGGTGTGCTATCGTCCATTGGTGGGTCTGGTGGTGCAGGTACTGCACGTACAGGCAAGCGAAGTGATCCGGTAATGCAGACCGGAAGTAATTAAATGCTGGTGTCGCATTTTTTGGGAATGGTTTCTTGTTGTAGCATGCCATGTCGTCTAGTCCCGGTGTTCTCTGCCGCCTGCTCCGCTGCCTTCTCTGGGCTGGGCTTGCGGTGGACGTGCC